TCCTCGACACTGCTACCCTTGACGCCGGCCCCCTCGGCCAGCTTCTTCAGCGCCGGCTCCATGGGCACGATAATGGCAATGGGCTTGGCTTTCGATTGGTCGGCGTAGACGCAGATGTTGCCGACGACCGACGCCGAGCGGTAGATGGACTCGAGCTTCTCCAGCGCGATGTACTCTCCATTCAGCGTCTTGACCAGGTTCTTCTTGCGGTCGATCAGCTTCAGGTGGCCGTTGCGGTCGAACTCGCCAATGTCGCCCGTCTTGAACCAGCCACCTGGCGCGATAGAGTCGGCAGTCTCCTTTTCGTTCTTGTAGTATTCCTCCATCACAGACGGACCTCGGATCCAAACCTCGCCCTGCGCGTTTGGCTTGTTGGTCGCGTAGTACCCAGCATCCGGGAAGTCGACCAACTTGACGTCGATGCAAGACGGCATGGCGCCAAGGGTGTCTGATGTCCACTCGAGAGGGTTCATTAGACAGCCCATGGCAGTGGTCTCAGTCAAGCCGTAGCCGGAGATCATTGGTGCAATGGCCATGGAGATGAACCTTTGGGTATCCCTCGCGACCGGACCGCCGCCGTTCATGCACAGCTTCAGTCTCCCGCCAGTGGCCTCTTTAATCTTCTTGAATACTATCGCGTCAAGAAGACCGGAACCAGGCAGTCCCGATGCCATCAGAGCCTGCTTGGCCCACAGAGCACCCCAAAACATGCGTTGCACTACAGCTCCTCCAGAAGCGACCTTCGCAGTGATACCCTTCTTCACGGACTCCCACACTGCAGGGACACCGACCAGGACTGAAGGCTTGAATTCGCGAATGTCACCCGCACAGTTTCGAACCGAGGTGTCGGACAGGGTCTTGGGGTTGCCGTAGCCCATGGTCGATCCCCAGTAGAGCGAAGCGTTCTCGAAAACGAACTCCAAAATGTGCGCCAGGGGTAGATAGGTCAAGAGCCCGTCGCCGGGGCCAATGAACGGTTGAACCACGACGCTGACACCAGCGACAGCCGCGATGACATTTCTGTGCTTCAGAGGCACACCCTTTGGTGTACCAGTCGAACCAGAGGTATACATGATACAGCACAGGTCTTCGGGTGCGGGAGGGACGGGATCAACGGGGTTCTCCTTGCCTAGCTTCTCGAGTTCACTAAAGCTCAATATCGTGATTTGCTTGTAGTTGGCCTTCAGGGCGTTGATGTGATCTTGCTTGACCTGGTTCTGGTTGTTCCATATGACGTAACGCACCTCGTTGGCATCGTTGAGGACATTACCCAGAGTCGGCAGGAGATGGGGGTCAAGGAAGATAGCCTTCGCGCCGGTCGCTACCATGGAATGTCTCAGGCCTTCTTCCCCGAGTGTGTCGTATGCGGTGACAATTGGCATAGACTGCGCTGCTGCGGCATGCGACATGGCTATCCAGTGCGCGCTCGTCGCAGCAAAGATGTGGACGCGGTCGCCCTTCTCCATGCCCAGCTTCCGCAGACCAGACCCCAGGTTCAGCATCAGCGTCTCATACTCGTGATAGTTTATGTACTCGTATGGGCTGAGCTCGAAGAAGGTCCAGTTCTTGTCGACTTCTTGCTCGACGCCGTCAACCACCTTCTTCACCTTCTTGGATTCTTGATGCGTCCGTACCAATTTCCGCGAACCCATTGCCTTAGCATTGCCGAATTTTTGGGCACTTACGCGCACCAGCTCGTAGGTGGTGGAGATGTTGTCGGCCGGCTTGGAAATGAGGCCGTCCTTCGTGATAGGGAGTCGTCGAGGTATGGTCTCACCCTCGGCAGGCTTGGAATCGGGGGTTTCGATGGAGTACAGGCCCTTTGCCGTCATCTTCGGCTCCAGGACTTTGTCCTTGAACTTAGCTTCTGCCCAAGACATGACTGCAGCTTGTGGTGAATCGTAAGGATATTGTAGGTAGAGCGAGGGATACGACGAGGAGAGAATGTGCGGGTTCGAAGTTGAGCTCAAATGGGCTGAAAGTTCGGCTTTGCGAGGTGACCAGTACGTAGGTCTGGTTGTATAAGACGGCTGTAAAACTTCGACCGTAAATCTCGTCCTTCACAGCTGATCGTAGGGCGGGTGCGTTGCGTTGAGGAGCAGAACACTACCGTTGCAGGAGGGGATCTAGTCTTCGGGGTGTAGACGGCAACGTGCTGGTGGTGATTGCCTACCTAGATACCTAGTTACGATTTCCTTGGGTTTATTGGTTTATTGGCAATGGCCTGAGCTCCAAATCATCGACAGCAAGGGTATGACGAAAACAATTGCCATCACATCCCATCCCCATGCTCATCCTGGTTGCCGAGAGCCAATGGACTCAAGCTAAGCTAGGAAAGGCCAAGTACCTAAGTAGACTGTTGAGGAACCCCTGCCGATATCCTGGTAGCTCAACGGCCAAGGATCGGTAAAGATGGCCACCGACATCCAGAAGATGCCGCGGGACCTTGGGGGAATGTTCAGGTAACGAGCTGTATACCTAGCTGGGTACCTAGGTAGGTAGGTACTTGAGTGAAGATACGCCTCAAGGATTCGTACCAGAGAAGTCATACCAGACGGTGCCGGCGTGTCTGCCCCAACCATTCTTGTAGAATCTGGCTAACCTAAGTAGGTAGTAAGCCTGTCTCTCTAGAGCTAAGCTGAAGCCAAGTACCTCATAGTCGCAGCTTTCGATCTACTGCGTATTGGCACGCAGTCTTTTGGAGAGGTCCAAGCTTTTGCGCGATATCACATCCCCGCAATGGACTCCCTCCCCTCCCTGTACACAGCAAGCTAAGTACTGCAAGTTAGCGTTCCGATAGAAATCTGACCGCGCCGCTGGTGCTCTGCGTTGTTCCCTCCATTGGAACATCCCACCCTTGCCAGTGATGCAGAGCCCCTTGGCATTCACATCACTTTGCTTTGATACTTCGCCCGCCCTTCGACGTCTGCGTCCAAAGCCGGGAGAACACTGGATTCTTTCGCAGGCTGAGATGTAGCCGCAACGACGACTGCTGCTTGATATGCACAAAAGACCTCAAGAAGCATTTACGTCTTGAACGACCAAGATGGCCGCATAATGTGAGGGAATACGTTTCATTAGTACCTAGTTATCGTGTGCATAGGGTAGCGTTGAAAATATGCCGTAAAACTCGCTGAACCAATCAGAAAGTGCAAAATCTGCGGTGTCTGCGAAAACGACAAGCGACAAGGACATAGCTTGGGCTTGTGTACATATATTCCAGTCATGATGTCTTTACGGCTCTTAGACTGCGTCCACTGCTTTCGATAGTCATATTTCGTCGTAATCACAGTATGCTCACTCGTGACCTGCGTAGTTCGTCTACCCACAAGCCTCAGATCAGCCAAGATGGAAGGTCTGCTTGACCTCCTGGGGCCAGAGGTCGAAGATCCAGAGGAGGGCAAGTTTCCAATCTCACATATGCAGTAGCGAGCGTCTGACCGTGCCTACAGAAACATTCTTCCTTTTCAGCCGGGAGATACCATCCCAAAACCTTGGGTTCGTGGATTCGCGTGCATTGACGCTGGACTTGACTGTTGCTGGCAAGGACTACGTGATCCACCAGTCTCCATCTGTTCTCTCGTCAAATCGAGCAGGAGGAACCACGGGCGCCGGTCAGTGATTATGGGTCCAAGTCGAGCAACTCAGGAGCTGGACGTCTTACTAAAGGTGGTTCAGTGCTTTGGAAGATCACACCGATGTTCGCAGAGTGGATAGCATCGCCGAGAAACCTCTTACGCACAGCAGGCATTCTCCATTCTTTATCGAGCGTAGTCGAACTAGGCTGTGGGATCTCTGGGCTCACTGGCTTGGTGTTAGCTCCATCTATTGCAAGGTACGTCTTGACGGATCAGTCTTACGTCTCGAGATTCGTCGAGAGCAACCTGGCAGAGAACATGAGCAACATGACCTCGAGCGGTGCCGGGTCACGGCGCAAAGGGAAGACCCGAACAGCAAAACCTAGGACTAACCTAAGCTTTACCTCCTTGGACTGGGAGCTCGACAAAGTAACACCAAGTCTCACTGAATCCGAGGATGTCAAGAGCTTCGATGCCGTTATTGCATGCGACTGCATATACAATGATGCGCTGATCCGGCCTTTGGTGGAAACGTGCGTTGATGTTTGCGAGCTAAGGGTCGCGGATGCAGCTGCCCAGACTGCCCAGGGACCGGCTATATGCATTGTGGCTCAACAGTTAAGGGACCCAGAGATATTTGAGGGTTGGATTAAAGAATTCCACAAGAATTTCCGGACTTGGCGTGCACCGGAATCGACTCTGACCGATGCATTGCGTTCCAACGCTGGGTTTGTGATCCATGTCGGTATACTACGAATCGGTGGCGGCCTTTAGGGTCCGAACAAGAGCTTCCGGCTTTAATATGCTGTGATTGGAATAGATTTGTATCGGCTCTAAGCTCGGAGAGTCGGTCTAGCAAGCGGCTCAGACTCCATATGTTTAACGCGAGAGATAAACGCAACCGGCATCCTGTAGCATGTTGGCCTGGACAGCCGAACTCGACCGTTGGGGCCCGAGCCGGAGGGTGAATGTTGAGAGGATCCTTGAAACCGATGAGTACCTAGGTATTCTCTGCTTCAATTGGCTAAACTTTCTTCACCTACCAAATTATGTCTGGAGGAAGGTGCGTTTGCAACAAGCAAGCAACACGTGACGAATTAGGAGACAGCAAGCTACATCCAGGCTCGGACCACTTGAGACCGGAAATAGGAAGTCACATGCCATCCTACTATCCTTATACGCTTCCCACTGTCATGGGTACGACTGTGGCTCGCACTGCTGAGAGGGACGTCCTGGGTCATGGGTCGCGGCGAGTGAGTCTTGCGGTGACAAGATTCCACTAAGTATTACCAGACCTCTACCATGCAGGAAAGCCTAGATACAATCACCATTATTCCCATCATACCCTATTGCGCGGTGGACGAACTATAACCGTGAAATAGAGGCAAACGTATACTGGAGACGACCCATATCCATCAACAATCCGAATTGGTGTAGTTGGTTAACATCACGGACTCTCTATCTGTGGCCCAGGGTTCGAATCCCTGATTCGGAGCACTCATTTCTTTTTACTTTTGGACTTCTGTGCCGCTGGTGCTGCTCTTGGTATCTTTTTGCCCTTGATCACTACATACTTAAGTACTTATTCAATGATCTTTCACAGGCAAAGCCATTATCTGTCCGCAGCGCTGTCCAACTGACCGAGTACGTACATGGCCAAACATTAGTGCATTCATCTCACGAAATAATGGGTTGTGACATGACCAAGCTCGTGGACTCTGGATCCGTGGCAAGGTGGGTGCAGAGCAACGCCTCCGTTCGGCTGATGAGCACAAACAAACCACACAAACCGCCTCCCAAAGATCCATCTCATAATACCAAAAGAAAAGAAAACAACCATGAAGGTGTATGTCTGTACATCACTAGAATGTGCAACAGACTGGTTGACGTCTCTGATAGCATGCAGAGGTTGGAATACTGCGGCAAACTCCCAGACGAACTTGAGGGGATATTTCCTCAGACCTCCCTTTAGCCGTGCGCGGAGTACCCTCGTAATCAGGTTCAAGAGTAACTTCAATCTTCTGCGTATCAATTTATCTGACCAGGCATAGGTGATGCTACGCTCGCTGCATAGTCATAATCACCAGGCGGAGATTTTGGGGGACTAGTCAAGGCCTAAGATCTGATATATGCCTGAAGAGCAGAATCGCACAGCAGTTAGTAGATCCTGGCGTATAGATACTCAGTATTCAGAATGCATGAAGAGTTATGTCAATGACCAGCTGTCTACAAGCTTTCGGTATAAGCGACTGGCGCTACTGAAAACTCCACACACGCGGTTCCTTCCGTAACGTGAGCAGCAAGCTTCACCATCAATATCGCTCGCACATCACTGGATGGAAGTGACAGGCCATCAAGCCTTCCAGGATCTGTCACTTCCACGACGTTTCTCCTATTGGCATGTTCACGCATTTTTTGATAAGATCGAGGGCTGACAAGCCTCACGTACCGGATGTCAGGAAGGCCAATCACATGAAGCCCCCCCCCCCTCTTTCTAAGTCGGGATGAGCGCATTTTACCAATTCGGCGAGGGAACGCATCACTACATAGCTACTTACCTAGACAGGCCCATGTCACATTATATTCACCTCGTTGGGTACTCCCCCGGCGCTTTTAGTTGATGATAATTCAGCTTGATCATGAGGTTCTTATCCGTCTGCAGCTTTGATGACTGAATCCGCCCTCGCACTCCACACTACAACGGAATATCTTGGGTCTGAAGCGCAAAGCCTCGGCAAGAAACCTGCCCAAAAAGGTCTGGCTCACACCTGCTCTGATCACCACTAGTCGCTAGATGTATTGTGACAAGAAAGAAGCGTAATACGACTTGTGGTGCGGCAAGTATTACGTGTCATCAAGGTCAGCCCTCGAGGGCGTCACTCTCGACCACGGGGACCCAAAAGGGTCAAATGGGTACAGCGTACTACTCCGAATCATCACACGGCCCGAAGGTTGATCAAATAGCGCTATACTCGGTTGAAGCGCCAGACGACGACCACGATAGGCTACTCCCCGTACTCCTCCTCACGAGTCTTACGACGCAAGCTTACCAACAATGCTTAAGCCTTTCGGTAAGTCAAGTGGCAAACAAGTGCTATCATCTATGCTAATCATTTGCTGTCTCTGACTGTATCCATAGCGGAAATGACTTGTCAATACAAATTCTCCCACATCCCAGGTTTCTTCATAGATTATGTTGATGCTGCGAAAAAGTGTCCCGGCGCGAAAATAACAACGCAGCCGCAACTTGGGATCCTCGAGCGAGCATACGAGCCGCTGGATACAAGTCCAACAACTCCTAAGGATTCCCCTCAGTGGGCTCAATTCGCAAAACATGTGCAAGATCTGAACAAGAGAAGTAGCAATGGTGAGTCCTACAAGCTACTGTACATAATCCGACATGGCTTCGGAGTTCATAACATGGTGATGGAGAAGGTTGGCTCGGAGGCTTGGAAGGTAAGCTGCGTCCACTCTCTGTCTCTTCTGCCTGCGTGTTTGATCTCCCGGAAGCAGCGATTAATGTTCACAGAGCCACTGGTCCCACCTTGACGGAGGGTTTGACGTGACGTGGGACGACGCCCGTCTCGTGGAAGCAGGCGTCGCTCAAGCCCAGGAAAACGCACAGTTATGGATCGACGGAGCTAGGGATGATGAGATGCCCCTACCGGAGACAATCTACACCAGTCCCCTCGCTCGGTGTTTGGAGACGACCAAGCTCGTGTATGCACCAGTGATGTCACAGCATGGTCGGAGTCTTCAGCCTATGATCAAGGAGTCTCTTCGCGAATTTATAACGGATCATACTTGTGACAGGCGTAGTTCAAGATCGTGGATTACACAGAACTACCCCGAGTACATCATTGAAGAAGATCTCTCAGAGAAGGACGGTCTGTGGAAGGCGGACTCGTCTGAGACTCACGAGGCGCATGTCGTCAGGAAGCAGAAGCTGTTGGAGGAGATATTCGCAAGCGATCCTGCCCCCTTCATATCGCTAACCACACATTCATATGCAGTATCAGCCATCCTGGAGGTTGTGGGAGCTCCAAAGTTCCGTGTGGGCGAAGGTGCTATGATACCTCTCTTTGTGAAGGCGGAGAAGATTGCGCCGGAGACGACCGGATAAGACCAAAATTGTCGTCAGCTCGGCGGTTTCGCTTAGGAGCATCATTCCGGCTTCCCATCACGAAGCTCACTCTACGAAGTACTTGGTAGGGACATGAGTAATAGGCCGACTTGAACTGATCACCAGATCAGGGGTATAATTAGTGAATGGTTACCAGAGGATGCGGAATCGCTGGACATTGCATGGAGCAAGAAAGTCACTGGAAACCGCGTTATCTGTGATATGATGCTGGCAGACTGATTGGCTTAGTCGTGATACGGTAGTATTTGACCTATGAAAGCACCGTTGATCGCATGCCGGAAAGGAGGCGAGGAGTCTTTCGTAGCAAATTTGTTCACCTTGTCGGATAATACGAAACCCATTGCAGAAACTAACTCGTTGCTGCACAACGCAGTATTTGCATGTCAATACCTAAAGGTATCTATAATCAAGTCCTCTTGCGAGATGCCGGGTCATGTAATACGACGCAGAAGGAACTCGCAGCGTGATAAGAGTCGTTTAAAGTTCGCTTATTGGTCACTGTTCTGTTCGGTTTCCATATTATATCCGCTCCGAGAAGAGGCTCATTCGATATATGATCGGAAGTTGCATAGGAGACTTATTATATCTCCTTACGTGTTTCTCTTGTACTTGACCCTAAAGGGCTGGATCTGAAGGAAATCGAGAATAACGACGACCACGTATGAGTCGAATCTTCCCACATTAATGAAAGCTTCGTTTCTGTATCCATACCTGCCAATTCCCTGAGTACTTGAATGTCTTCTAGAACAGCACTCAAACTTCTTCTTCCGATCATACCGGTCGGTAGGATTAAATTAACGAGGGGAATCATACATCCAGGAACTGATCTTAGCTAAGAATACCCGTCATCATCACCAAGATTACCATAGCCGTGAGCAATATGTGCGAGTGCGTTTTAAGAAACACTGTTTAATGTACAAAAACGTAAGAATATGGAAGATGACCTCTGACTGCATCCAAACGAGGAAGATCACTCTTCCTCGTTCCTGGAAGGCTGGGCGTTTTCCTATGCCATTTTCCGTCATCAACAGTGTCCTAGTATAGTCCTACACTTCCAATGCGAGATGATACCGCTCACAATCAGGTATGTAAGCCCGACCAGCAGAAGCGAGCACACGACAATCACGAGAACCGGTCCAGTGTCTCCATCCTGTGACCAGCGACCCGCGTCTTCCTGCTCTGAAGTTTGGTTCGATGATACAGCCGGTGCCTCGAGGTTTTCGAACGTATGGTATTGATAAAGAACGTGGCGGGGATCGCGGCAGAGGGGAGTGAAAGGCGAGTCGTAGGGTCGAGGGTTCTTTGCTATGCTATCAGTGACGGACTAGTCAGAATTGGGAGGCGGAGTAGTGTACCTGTCTACGGTTCTCACTTTCTCCGGCTTTGACTGGCACCGGTACCGGCTCAGGCGCATGGTCGCGCCGAGTTGAGGATGTTGAGGACGACTTTGAAGTCATTTTCTTAGGTCTGAGGGCAATTCGGTAATGTTTCCTGATGAGAATATTCTCGGTACGAGTTTCCCCTCATGCACGAGGAGGATCCCTTTGGTCCTTGAGTTCTTGACATAAGACGTGGACCCCGGGCAACATGGCATGGAGGCAAACAACGGGAAGATGCATGCTCGCTTTAGTTACACGAGAATGATGCTGTGTCAACAACAATTCCCCGATCAAGTTGTAGCTTACCTTGGTAGAATGTAGTGGCTTGATTTTCGATGCCAGTTCAGATGCGACAGAAGCGCTTGGTACAAATATAGGGGATGATGAGCACAGGAATGGAGTGGAGTTGGGTTTCGAGTGCACCTAATGGCTGACGTCTATACAGCTCTGTTTGACATTTGCTATCCTGGATGGAGATGTGATGCTTGCTAAGCTGCCTACCTGGACGTCCACAGCTAGCTCGGCTTCTTCGTACTCGCTCAAGATCGCACCGTGTCCCTGATATACCCTAGCCTTCCGTCAAGCCCCACCAATTTACACTTTCTGTATCATAATACATTAGTAGGAACCCCGTAGCCCTTTAGGGATTACTGCCAGTAGACGCTACTATTTGGATCCGTAGGCGGCATCGCATTTACAACCTGCTGCGGATTGAACCCGCCGTATTGTTGCATGATGAATTGCCAGTCAACCTCGCCGCCATAGTTGACGTCAGCAAACGCGCCTGCATACTGCCTACTGACGTCTACACCCGGGATTCCGGTCCACATGTCGGTGTCAGCGTAGGGCTGTGTGTCAGGGTTAGGGGCTTGCGGGGGCAATTCCACCTCCGGAGTCGAGAAGCTTCTCGGTATAATTTGTGGCGTCTTTGGGTCTGGCGACTTGCTTCGATCCCTCAGTCCGAGGCGGGCT